CATAACTATCTAAGGGGGAGGGGTGTTTTAAACAGCACGATTTAGCTTGCAAAGCTAAAAAAGGTAGATCAAAATCAGTGTCGAAACTACAACCAGATCTTGCTGGAGCTTGCGTTTTTTTAAATCATTTCGTTTCATTTTTCATTTCATTAAATACGCTCTAGGCGTCCCAAAACATTGACAAAAATGTGTTAGTCATACATGTAATCACCTTTTATGTATTTTCCTTTGTCAACTATTGAGCCCACGATTTCCTTGTCAAAAGAATTTGATTCGATTTTACTGGATATTAAGTAAACTACAAATTTGCAAAAATTTTGGTGTATTCGAGAGTTCATCTAGTGAAAGCACTCAACTTATGGTCACAAAAAAGTGCTGGTATGTGTTTAGTCTACATTATGAGTAAGCTCTAGAAAATAGAATGAATCACAAAGTCATATCATTGTGTGCCTCGAATTTCACAACAAAATGACATTCTTCTTTGTTGAAATGAGAAATGTCAACAATGAGGAGCAAGTCACTAGGTTTACCAATCGTGCTGTTTCTTCTTCTCCTTTGCTTTGTCGGTGGTTGACGTTACACATGTGATTATTTTGCTCCAACGAGGCTTTGTTCTTGTTTCGTCCATCTTCCATCTATTATTTTTGTTCTCGTTTTATGAAATAAGGCATTCGCCTGTTTTCTCGGCTATTTACTCTTATAAACTTATTATTTAGGAGCTGTTGGCAATGTGGAGCAAGATCACCACACATATAGGTAAGTTGTATACGGAACTTCTGAGGTCCCTTCCTTTGGTATCTCGACTGCAATGCAATTTTCAACCTAATTTTATATTTTCACACAGCATAGTTGATTTCTAGTGATATGCTCATTATATAGCCCAACCTCCTTTCTTGTATAGGATTTTTTAGAGAATTATCACTCTAGGGAGCATATAATACAAACTGATCGAAAAATGTAAAAATTCACCTAATTTTGTTCAAGGTGCAACGAAATGCTATAAATTAATGGTTTTGTCTGATGGCTCACTTCTTAGCCCCGGCAATAGGCGCGAAATTCCTAAAAGTTACATGAATTGTAACCAGAACGCTTTGCAAATAATAATGAATAAATAGTATTTTATTTTTTGAAAAACCATCTCAGGTGTAACTAAACAGTATTTTGCCCAAATGAAAGTCATGTTTGCAAAAATTTTGAGGAGCTTTCCCAAAATTTTCGATGGATTCACTCGTCCCTCTTCCCTCCCCTTTCATGGGTAAAAGACGGAGCATACTTCACGCGATTTCAGTCGCGATGCGATTTGGCAATTCGCCTAAAGTCTTCATTCAACATTAGCAAACTGCACAAGCATAGTGTGTATAACTTATGTGGATTGCTAAAATGTCCTATCTTCTCTACATTTAAAATGTGCTTACATTGAGTTATGGACAGCTGGAATACTGCCAAATCGCGTCGCGACTGAAATCGCTTGAAGTATGTCAGTCCTTAAGTATGCGGCTGCCACTGTTGAAATTGCAATCATACTGGTGTCCACAATTTCTAAAGTGGGCAGCTGTCCATATTATGCAGGCTGGAGTCTTGCTTCCATTGTTAATCCTTCCCCCCCCCCCTTCCCCATCCCTTTCCCTCTCCTTCTTCTGCTCCAGAAGTTGAAGAGCCGTATAGAAAAACTAACCTAACCCGTACTGAGAAGAATTTCTGCGGTTTTTGAATTTATTCGATTAGCGCCTTTTTGCCTTATTTTTCGGCTGCGTAATTATACTGACAGCAAATTCGATTCTCGGATTCAACAAAAATAGATCATTGCAGTAGTGGAATTGGAGTCATAAAAAAGGAACAATTTGCGAATTCAGAAGGCAATTACGCCGCTTCTGGCACAACGGGCATAACGGCCATTTTTACCTTCGTAGATCACTGGCCCAACTTTCCTTGATGATACAACTTGAGTTCCCAACTCATCTAACCTCAACTCGAGTAATCGATAAAGTGAGTAAAGCGAAAAACAGGATGAGTCGTGATGTGTCAGTCATCGCAATCTCCTAAGATTGTTTTGAAGAGGCGTTTGTGGCATCATTACTGAGGGTTTCGAGGGCTTTGTTTTGAGGGGTGATAATGCGATGTCACTGATTTGAACATGAAAAAAAATCAAAGTAATTCAAGATATTGGGTTGTTCGAAAGTGATGTAGCTTTTTTCAAACGAGCGGAACATCCCGCGGAAATGAAGCTCCTCAAAAGCTTTGGCCGCATTCGATGCAGCTTTTCATCATCTTTCAAAAAATATATTCCTCCCATTTTCTCACAGAAGTTCATGAAAAATGTTGAAAAGCTACAATCCATGTTTTTTTTGCCGTTGTCACTTTCGCTAATTTATAAAGCTTTTGTAGCGATCCCCGGAAGAAGTACAAGTAGGATTTATCTAGAGCTATTTCTGCAGTATACCAAAACATTTCTTTCCATAGTTTGCTTGTAATTTTTCAAATTAATTTGGTGACACTTTCGAACTTCATATTTTGGTCAATTTAAACCTCATAGAGCAATAACCGGCAACCAACTTGGGTCATTCGATGTGGCTTTTTCCCCTTTTTAATATGCTTTTTTTCGATTCAGTGCAATTAAAATTATCATAATTTGTACTTCTGAAAGCTCCTCTGGCTGTACTGAAAAATTCGAGATCCATTTCAAACAGTAAATCATTAGTCATGTTTGGAAACTATGAATTCCGAAAAGTTATTGGTCTTTGACGCATATTTGAATTTGTTTGCTTTGACGAAAAATTTATCAGAATTATAACTTTCTATGGAAAAGAGAAAACAGTTATTTTGTACCCAAGAGGATACCTATCCATCCGTTACTCGGGCTTCTTACAAGGGAACGATACTTGGGTGTCCGTGGCCTCTTGAGATGAAACGTAAACCATCACATTCGTTTTGGAACGCTGATTCCGAATCTGACTTCCTTTCCTGCTAATCGTTTCTCTGAAAGAAGTTATGAAGGATTTTTGCGTCAATGGTCGCCTAAGAGAAATGCGGCCGAGGATGCCTAACTTTCAAAAAGAAGCTTGATTGAGACAGTGCAAAACTGAAAAACACAAAAGGACTCGAACTTAAACCTACATTAATTTGCGAGGCTATCGCACTAGCCACTACACCACATCTTAGCGACGGTTTTGGCATTCCGACCACGTCTCCTTTGGCGCAAAAATCCTTCATAACTTCTTTTAGAGAGACGATTAGCAGAAACGGAAGTCGAATTCGTAATCAGCGCTCCAAGATGAGTGTAATGGTATACATCTCATCTCAAAAGGTCACGGACACCAAGTATCGTTTCCTTGTTAGAGCGAGTACGGAAATTTTAAAAAAGAGCGAAATTTGACCATTGCAAAAACCATGAGTCGCAATTTTTGGTGATTTTCTGAAAGCTCGCTGGTTGGACTTTTTATCATTAAGCTGCATCGAATGCCTCCAAAGGTTTCGAGGAGCTTCATTCCGCACATATTACGCTCGGTTTGAAAAAAGGGACATTACTTTCGGAACGAGCTATAGTAAAAGCAGCCAGGACTGAAGTTATCTGGGCTTTTATTCGAAGTGAATGAACAGAGGTAAAGCCAGACTTTTTCTGAAAGAGCCCCAAACAAATTATCTGGCAAGCTTTTTACTTTTTGAAGACTTTTGAAAGCTGCATTCTTTTACTGTTTCGTTGCTTGAACTCCTCTCATTTATTTTCATGACCAAATGCTCGTTTTAATCTGATTCATACTACCGAACTTTGTATAATTGAGAGAATCGGATGTCTACAGAGCTTTGAAGACGACATAATCTTCTCCAAAATCTTATTATTTATGCATTTATTTATAATTCACTTTATGAACGTTTACGGTACCATTCATATAAACACAATTACTAAACATTTTTTATCGTTTTTTATTTTATTTTGTTTTTTTTACTCACTAGCTGGCTTACCCGGCTCTGCCCGGCCCGCCAAAACACTATGATAAAACTCCCATCCCTATCCCTGCACAGCCTTTACCTGTGTCCACTACATATCAACTCCCTATTCCCGCGTGTTAGTTATCAGCATGCTCACTTATCCCTGTGCGAATTTCCAGCCCCGTAACTTAAACTTTGCAAAAATCGATAAAACCGATAAAACTAGTGGATAATTCCAAAAACTAATTTTGTATTCGTCAGCATGGATTATCCCCCTGTGCCAACTCTCAGCCCCGTGAATAACTCCACAAAAAATCGATAAAAATCGATAAAATCGATGTCGATCAATGACGAAAAGAAGCCTATGACACCCGCCCTGCTCCAAAGTGTATGTGTGCCAACTTTGGTCCGAATCGGTTCAGAAATGGAATTTTCTATTCGGAACATAAGTACATACAGACATACAGACATACAGACATACAGACATACATAAGACATACATACAAACAGACATTCAGCTTTATATATAAGATTACAAGATATCCATCAAACTACAGCTGATTTAGCAGAAACTGATTATCTTATATTTATTATCCTATTTATCTTTGAAAGAAACTGATTTAGCAAGCGATATTTTTCGCTTGGTTTCTTTCAAAGATAAATAGGTTGGTGCAAAAGTTCTTCGTACCATTTTTGAAAAATCCCCGTTTTTCGTCTCTTGATCTGCTTTGAGATATAGGAGACCTTACCTAAGATAGTTCAACTAAGGTGATTTTATCCTCCTGCTTTTCTCTCAAAAGCTCGCAACTGTCCAAACACACAAAAAATTTGTTACAAAAAAATGTTCCTCTATCTAGCAAGATTGTATGCAAATACTTCGAGAGGCAGAAAGTCATAGTTTTTTGAAAATTGTGGGAACAAACCTTTGCACCAATCTAATGTAATATACTTTTGTACAAACAGGCATTTCACCTCGTGCTCATACCTCTTCAAATGAATTTTATTCCATCTCAGGTATATGGCTTGGCTTAGAAGAGCAAGAACGCCGGATGCGCACCTCCTGTTCGTTATCGATGTTAAATAATCCACATATCGCTGTTGTCCGCAATTCGAAAAGCTCCGAAAATCTGCATAAAGTCACCAATAACATAGCTGGACAGGATTCTCCTAGGAAGGTTGGTATTATTTCTCGAATTGTATTGTAGAAGCTTCAGACTCGAAAAGTCTTATGTGCGGAAATGATTGGTAAAAAGACTAAGTTTGCTTTGGGAAAAAAGGCTAAATGCTTTCTATTTCAGACTTCTATTTTTACTCGGCGAAGAAGTCGCACAAAAGAAAAGAAGGCACAGAAAATTGCAAGTGAGTACAGTAACCCTCTTAAAAAATTGTCACATACATACAACGTTCATACATGAGCCCAGGAAAACTTTCGGCGAGCAAACTAGATTCCGAGTGTTTTTCCTTTTCTGTACGATAGCTCGACATGGTCCATAAGCTTGAGTAAAAATTTGCTCTTTAATTCAATGAAATTGGCGGCTGGAAAGGGGGGGGGGGCTTCGAGGCCTAATCAAGACTAGAGTATGATCAGAGAGCACGCTCGTAACAGACATAGACTGAGTGCGGGCGCGAGCGGGCGTCTTCAGCCAAGCCTGTTGAATAGCGGTATCCTATCCTATACAGTATCCTCCACTATTATGATTCCAAAAAGATCAGTTTTACATAAGTCAAACAGGTACCTAAATTTTTTAGTTTTGAAAGCTTAAATTGTCTTTGCATACTTATGGATACGAAATCGTTTCTTCTAGATAACATATCAAATGGCGTCAAGGCCGTGGACCCACTGACGCAGTCATGGCACAGTCACGCTGAATTACCCTCTAGTAAAACTATTTTCAACTTTTTAAAGTAAGTTTCTCAACAGATTTCAGGCGCTATTCCAGTATACCGACCCCAAAAATTAAAAATCTCAGATTTCGCTCAAACTCGGTAAAGGGGGGTTATTCGATCCGCTGATGCCAAATATCATATCGATTCCGTGCGATAGCGCCATTTTCCGGGGGTTACGGTGGGTATACGGTAGGGGGTCAAAATCACGATATCCGCTGAAACTTCGTGTGGAGCGGTTATTTGACATGCTGTTCACGATTATGATGTTTATTAGTTATGAAAGGGCCTCATTCCGACGTTACATTGGGTATACATTACCATTACCACCGCTAGATCGAGATTCAGGGCCTGAATCTCAGTCACACGTCGGAAATTTCCTCCCCCCGCTTTGCTTAGGCAAAAGCCGCCGCAGGGTGTATCGCGCACGGCGGTGGGTGTGGAAAGCAGTGAATTGGACCCTCCTACAGTATACCCACCGTAACCCCAGAATGAGGTGCTACCGTAACGAATGGATATCATATTCGTGTTCAGCATGTCAAATAACCCCCCTGCACCAAGTTTCAGAGAATTTTGTGATTTTGACCTCCTACCGTATACCCACCGTAACCCCCGGAAAATGGCGCTGTCGCACGGAATCGATATGATATTCGGCATCAGCGGATCGAATAACCCCCCTATACCGAGTTTGAGCGAAATCCGAGATTTTTAATTTTTGGGGTCGGTATACTGGAATAGTACCGGATTTTCTCATCCGCACTCAACCCAAAGCGTGCATGCCAATTTCTATGGCTTTGTTCCAAAATTGTTTTCGTTTTTTTTTCGGCTAAGCACTTCATTGCTGCTCTAATTTTTCTTAAGAATGAAAATTGATGCCGCAGCTCGATGTATTCAAATTATATTTTACATTTGTGCCGGTCCATATTTCTCAAAGACAATGAATCTAATTAAACATCCAACGCATATTTCATGTTCAGGCCATCTCGATCCCGCTCAAACACTAATGCAGATCCTGCCGTGATTCCACGAAATACTCCATCGTGTCCGAATTCGAGTACAGTGCCCGACTTCTCACATTTGCGAAGGAGAAGACCAAGAAGCGCTCACTATGATCCGAATACAATCACGCTATCCGACAATAAGGTAAATTCTATCCACATCTTCTGCGAGTTTGGAAACGCGGGATCTCCGGTGAAAAAAAGGTTCAAAAAGAAACAGCCAGAAGCGAGAATTCTCAGCTCTGTAAATAGTCGCTTACGAACTTCTATAGAATTATTCGACTATAGAAATTTTTTTCGAAATTTCAAAAACCGTGCTAATGCAAGAGAATCAAACTTTTGATCAAAAACTCACATGTCTCATGAGAGCCCCTATCAAATAATTTCAAGCAAAAAACTCACGTTACAAATTATATTATCGAACAGCATCCTTTTTAACTAGTTCTTGAGATTACCAAAGTAACTGTTCTGAAGTCACTTCAGGACGTCCTAACAAATGACATAAATGAGGAATACGAGAAGCTCGAGAAGCTTGGAGAAGGTAGCTATGCCACAGTATTCAAGTGTAAATCCAGGTATGCTTTTAAATCAAGAAAAAAATCAGACCCTGAATCAAGCAGCAAGAATTTGATTTTGTCAGGTCTGATGGTTCCATAGTCGCTCTGAAAGAGATCAAATTACAATTTCAAGAAGGCCTTCCTTTCACGGCAATCCGAGAAGGTGAGGATTTGCTGTAATTTTAGTAATAAGTGAACAAAAAAATGTTATTTAGCTTCGCTTTTAAAAACCTTACGTCATGCTAATATAGTCTGCCTTCACGATATATACCATCAACATAACCAGCTGACTTTCGTATTTGAGTATATGGTAAGAGCCAAAGGTTTTCTGATTCGCTTCTGAAGTGACGAAAATTTCAGAAAATGGATCTCAGCAAATATCTTGAGAGTCATCCCACGGGTTTGGAATGCCAGCAAATTAGGCTCTTGCTGTTCCAGCTTCTTCGTGGTTTAGATTTTTGCCACAAGAAGAAGATTTTACATAGGTAGCGGTGACTATTTTACAACTTTTACATGTAATTTTTATTTTTGTATTTTTTGCAGAGATCTCAAGCCACAAAATCTCCTTCTCGATGAAGATGGAGTATTAAAATTGGCGGATTTTGGACTTGCTAGAGCAAAATCCGTACCCAGCAGGACTTACTCCCATGAGGTAGTGACACTTTGGTACAGACCACCCGATGTACTGCTTGGCAGTACGGAATATTCAACATCACTTGATATGTGGTGAGTGTTTTACTTGAGCGGATTGTCGAGAAATCCTAAAGCAGAAAATTGCTTTTTTATACGTTGACGACGAGCTGTTTTTTTGACGTCTGTCCCTGTGGACGGACCGTTTCCGGGCATTTTCACAGCCGGCTATAGCCGGCGTATGTATGTATGCATATGTGCGTGAGGTACAAAAATGCAAGTGGGCGGGGTAGCTCCGCCCACTTTTGGCAAGCCCCGCCCACTTTTCAAAAATGCTGGAAATTGCTCACAATAAATTCGTGCAATTTCCGGCATTTTTAAACTGGGCCGAGCTTGCCACTCAGGGGGTGGCGCCTGCATAATGGGGGACGGGGTCAAAATTAAGATTATTTAAGGTTCCCCAGCCATCTACGAGCTTTTTTATGCGATTTGAGAGCGAAAAAAGTTTTTTGTAGAGGGCAACAGAGTGGGCAGAGTTTGTCAAAAGTACGCGGGGCCAACATGAAATGCTTTTAAGTCAAAGTTGATTATGTGAACACAAATGGGAACCATTGTGCACATTAGAAGTGGCATCCAGGGTGTCGCGCACCATTGCGCGACATCGTCCACAGGGAGAGACTGCCTGTCGCACACCATTGCGCGACACTGTCGTCAACGTGTTAATAATAACAATTACGCGATCAACAACCATATTTAGGGGTGTTGGATGTATCCTTGCCGAAATATGCACTGGACAAGCCCTTTTTCCTGGCACGAAGGATACCATAGACCAATTGGACAAGATCTTCTCAGTTCGCGGAGTACCTAACGAGGAAAAATGGCCTCAGGTATCTACTGTAGCACATGCTTGATAGCACCATCTAACTGCAGGCCTTTTCGTACCACTTGCGTGCGATAACATGTTATCACATTTTTTTAAGAGGTAGTACCGCGATTTGAAGCGTTTAGTAAATGAACGCCAACATATATAGTCGCGCGCTGGACATGGCAGTTGTACACAAGTGGACTGCCATGTTTACAGACTCGTTTACTTCCAACTTGCTCCGCCCTGCTCAAAATAGCCAATAGCAGCCGACGTGTTGACCAATCAGAGGGGCATCGCTACAAGGAGCGGTTCGGGAAGACTGTTCACCCCGTTAATCAGAAGTCTCCTTCAATTTTAAGTGGCTAGCGTAGAGCAAGAAAATCTTCCTCTAGATTGATGTTTTATACGTGTTGTTATTTTATTGATTTTGTTCGAATTTTTTTTGCGAAGTAGTAACATATATATATAACAAAGTAAGGTAACAGTAAAGTAACAAAGCAAACAAAGTAAAGTAAGTAGTAACATATATATATATATCAAAAGTTCATAGAATTCACTATGTGTTCGATCAATCAGTCCACATTTCTTCAAATCATTACATTATTCTCCCAATAATCTGACAACTAACAATATATGAACAAGCGGAAAACAGGAAAATTAGAAGGCTGAAGTCTTGCATGGAATCGTGACTTTCATATCATACTTGGATTTTTTTATCATGCCGTCTGCTAATCGCTTCCTGCGACAAGAGGTTCGACTCCAGACACTTTGGAATCTCATGCCTTCATTTTACAGAGTTTTTGATTGATTGTGCGCATCATTCCAAACGAAGAGTTATTAAGTCTCCTTTTTTTGCTTTCCCAACCATCATTCCTCACAAACAACCATCAGATTTGAGATACCATCAAATATCATCTTTTATAGAAAACTAGCCGACTTCTCCGGTCCAGCCCGGATAGTGGTATTTGAACTGGGCTAGCATGGTGATTAAAGCGTCTTGCAACTCACAATTCGACCCTTTTTCTTCGTTTTTAATTTCACAATCTCTTTCCTTCTTCCTTACTGCTTTTGCTCCTGGTTTGCACTGCAGCGCTCGTGATACCCGTAGTTGTTGTCTTCCTTCTTGCTCCCCTTTCTTCGTGAAACCGCATCGTCCTCGTCGCGAAATGTAAATGATTCCCACATACCGTCCCCTTCTACTTTACTCGGGAAAATGTCTAGAAGCTTTCATTCTCTTAGATGTAAGTGAACGAATCAATAAATCGATAGAACGACCCAGCGAATCATCGCGAAAAGTAGCCTATTGCGCCGTGGCTTGCTTATGAGGGAGAAAATTTCAGCCTTTTCGGTTCACATACAAAGGAGTCTATAAGCCACAAACATCCTAACAAACAAAGTTACAGTGTTCGAGTTTTGTAAATATATAGATTCGAGTGATGTTTAGGTGAAGAGCCTGCCCCACTATGTACCGAATGCCTTTCCTCCATACAAAGAAATTCCTTTCATGCAAGTAAATATTTCACTTGCAAAGCTACAAAAAACTGGCATTGATCTGCTTTGCATGTTTTTGGAGGTAAGAGTCTTTTAGACAGCACTACAAATATTCAGTTTAGTTCAGTTTATTTCAGCTCAAACCCGACGATCGAATCTCGGCATGTTCTGCCATGTTGCATCCATATTTTGCCGGTCTACCTCGAAATATTCATCTTTTACCTCATACTGCTTCTATATTCACTTTGCCCGAACTCCGTGTATGGAAACGATGATCGATTGCTTCTTATGATGCTGTACAGAATTCTCATTTGCTCAACCCAAAAAATAATGTTCAAACGAACGTCTGATATAATGTACGCACATTATCATACCGTACATATTGTACGCACATCATCCATCGTAACTTCCTGCTACCCTGCGAGGTCGAGGCCTGCAGTCAACATCATCGAAAACGTTTATAGTTTGCTCTTAACTAAACCATGCAGGTCACTGTCACCGTTAATTCGGAATTAATGTTTACGCTCACTGAAAAAGGGAGCTAGGCAAGGAAGACCGGAGTTAAGATTGGTAAACCACGATTGCCTTGATAACCTTCAGTGCAGGCTCCTTTACTCATCTTTCGCCCGTCTCGCGATAAAAGTTGATGCTTCGCAAGTGGCACACGACGAGTGGAAGGCCGCAGCCAAGTCGCTTCAATTGCATATGTTCACCTTTCAACGCCTGAGATCCCCGTATTCCTTTCCTTAAACTGTTTTGCGATGTTATGCGAACACTTAGGCCCATTACTATTCACTAAATGTCATGACAAGAAGAAATTGCTAGGAGACGGGTAATGAAGACAGGATAGTTTTCTTTATTTTATTCATTTGAGTTTGTATGTCCTGATATACAACAATTGGGCAACTGTAAATAGAATACGAAGTTAGTAACAGGACGCATAGCAAGAAATCATCAATGAATATACATTACTAATTTCTGACAGGCCGAAAAAGCAGTATAAACACATCATCCTTTCGATATAATCATATGGGACAGAAATAATAGTCATCTACACAAATAATCATATCAACAAATCTTTGCATGGTCTCCTTAGCTAGGTTCGGCATCTGGAATAGTTCCCTCTTTCGATTGCATAACACTCTTCTTTTTCGCTCAGTGCTGAAAATGTGTCAAAAGTAAAAATGTCAGTCAAAAACAATTCGATTGAAAATTTGAAAAGGCTGTCTTGAAAGAAAATGTTATTACATGATTTCCGTGCATGTGCACGAGCTTCGTGCATGGTTTTGCTCGAAGTTTTGTGCACAAATCGTTCATTCATGTAAGCAGTGTCACGTAATTACGTTTCGGTAGACGCTATGGCGGGGCTCGGTGTGTGTAGTCTAAGGATTTGGTACATATCATTTATTGAACAGATGATTCTCCGACGACCCGCGCCCTTACGTCTCCTCGACTTTGCTCAGGGCCCGGCACAGATCGTGTGGAAGCAGGCTGGACTTCGTTTTTGAAGCAAACAGCAAAGGATATATCGTTTTTGACGAGTCGGAACCGAGACCAAGAATAAGCGCCATTTAGTCGAGCACAAGCTCGGACAGGTTATCACACGATTGACATGCTCTATCGTGCATGGCGAAAAGCGCGCGATTTGAAAGCAAGGCTTAAATAAACAAATTGCTTTTTTACAGCGCACACAGAAGCATATGACACCAAAATTGAACTAAAGTGTAGAAAATTATTTTCGAAACTATTATGTAAAAATATTTGAAAACTTATGTGAAGTAATACCTTTTCCAAAATTAGATCGTCCCCAGACGGCCATAAGACGATCTGAGATTGTCCAGAGCATACATTTTCGTTACTTCACATAAGTTTCGGATCTTTTTAGCATGAACGGATTCCTCGGTCAAAAATCTATCCCTGAGCATGAAGACATTTTCATATGATTGCCTTTCCCTTGTTTTTAGCCTTCACTTCTTCTCGCTTTGTTAAATATCGCGCTCTAATGCCAAGGTCTTGTGCATGCATAGTATACAGCTCCAATTTAATTTCCCACTCTTATCTTTCCTTTCAGACGAGTAAATCTTTTTTGTTTTCATCTTCTCCTAAGCAGGTAGATCAAGGGGGACTTCGTAAAACTTCCGAAAGTCAGGGGAGACTTTGTTTTCAAAAACCCTAGAAACCGACTGGTGCCGGGCCCCGACTTTGCTCCTCAAGTTGGTCCGACCAAGCTCATCGTGACACCAACGATGAAGCTGACTACAACCAAGCGCTTCCCTTATGTAGAGGATTGAGAAGATATGCAGGCTGTCAATCGCCTGGTCTCTCTGGGTTCGCGAGTGACATGCAAAGTAAGATTAAAAATCATACACAAAACGAATAGGGTATTTGAAAATTTGTGACGATGGCGCTACCGCGCGCGACCCGCACGCACCTTTTGGCAACCACGTTTTCTCATATCATCTCTATTTAAATTGTTTTTCTGCCATATATGACAATATTTAGACATTGGAAGTGACCGAGCTGAGAGTTGAGATGATGTTCTATTTATGAGTACTTTCCGCTCCTGTGGGCGCAAAGACCGTACTCAAATCCGCCGTCACAATTTTATAAACGCCCTACAAATGAGATCGAAACAAATAACCAGTAAATAAACCAAAACAAGAATATAAACAAAAGGTGAGCGTATATCACTCACCAAGGGTAAAGTACCATCACAAGGCAAGATACCATTCAATGCACCATTTACAATCCGTATTATCCAGTTCATTCCTTTACAGCAGTGCAATATGATAGAAACGAACAGTAGTACATTTGACCATCAGTGCAGTTTGAGAGGCTAGAATCAAGAAACGAAAGAGCGCTCTTTAGACTGACGAGCATACAGATGTGAATTTCTGAGACGGCTGTGCTCATTACTGTGTTAGTCATTTCGCGGACAAGGCACTTTATGGTACAGGTCTCTGAAACCTTGATGATCCACAACTCCCTCGGCATCTTCGCCAGCACTAGCGCAACGAATCCTTCACTTCAAGAAAGCAAGATTGCAAATTGCAAGCAGACCGGTAGGTACCCCAGTCGAAGTCGCAGCTTCAGAAATGGCGTCCTCACCGCAACCATCAAGAGGATGGGATGTAGGCAAACTAAAGCGAAACTTTCGGAATTAATAACAACTAAGACTTTGACTTCGATTTTTAGCGTGTTCGCTTCCCGTTACCCGCAACGCTGAATCCGAAAATCGGATTCAACGTTGTGGATAACATGAAGCGAACACGCTAAAAACATAAGACAGCGTGAAAACTGCGAGAATAGGTGTCTCCCAAAGCCTTACGATAAATTAGGGAGTCTAACAGTGCAGAGTCGCTGGACCCTACGAGTTTAACTGTGGCGATGTGTACAATAGATGGGGAAATTACAGGTTGGCGAGATTCTCTTCCAAGGCATAAATTTCCCAATTTCCCGAGTGCACTTCTTAATTTTTATTAGACAGCTTCGCAGGCCCGATGACTGTCTGAGGCGCCCATGTTCGCATGGCACCAAAGCTCCAACCTTGCTCGGACAGTATTTAACCCAAATTTGCCCGCTTGCATCCTTGTGGGTTTGCGTCATATGCGCACCGTCAAAAAAGCGAGGAGATTCAAAGGCAGCGTCCAGGCAAATCTGGGCCTATGGGGATTTTTCGTGGAAAGTAAATTTGGGGCCCTAACTAAGGCACTGCCCAAGCGGCAGCGCAGGTGACTCACTAACGGCTGAGATGCACGCCCCCAAACTGGACCACAGGATCGTATTTCGTATGGATTCATGGTGCAACCCATCAGTTTTGCGCGAGGATCCAAGCGAAAATGATGAATTGCTATGAATCCATGCGAATACGATCCTGGGGTCCAGTCTCGAGCGGAATATCTACTCATAGATATTCCACCACCCTCTTAAATGGCAGATACCATATTCATGCAAACTACGCCTCAGGTGTACACCTAACACAGTCATACGAGACGTGTTTATCTCAACAAACATTAACAACTCGCAAATACAACCGGCAACATAAAATAACGAAACACAACAAGAGAGATTGGAGCCCAAAGACGTGGTGGCTCGCTGGTCGTAAGTCCCTTCACTGATTCGCCAACTCCTCCTCTGCTTGGCATCGTTGCGCGTCAAGCTATCGTTGTGCCATTTGTAAACAAAAAGTATGGGAATGAAAAAAGCGTATGATCTTACACAAGTGATAATGGGAAAAGGCAAAAAGGAAAGGAAATGGATAAGTGTAAGTTTACATACCGATATACACAGATATATACGTATATTTACACCTTTCCCTTTAACAAGAGTCCGTCCTTGGACTCAGAGTCGAACTGCCGGCCTCATGTGTTGGTCGAAGGACCACAGATTAATTACGCCTGTCCTTTCGCACCATCGCACCACCGCCGACCATGTGTGGACGTTCTGTAAGAATTTGAGTGAACATATGATAAATAGCCCATCTTTATCTCGGGACAAAGCCACATTTATCCTCTTCGCGTCGGAAAAGAAAGTGGCCCGGTCCCTTTGCTCCATCTGTGAGTTGTGCACAGAATGGTACCGAACGTTCCGATGCTGGACGCTGTCGACCGTTCCGACTATCACTCCGGTGTCCTGTAACAACGATTGGCAGAGAAATTTCTGGTCGCGATAAAGACAAATGACTAAAATGCGTTCGTGCCTACCGCCATGAGCAGATGTACCAGATCTACCGCTGCTTTTGCCCCTAGATCGTTAGTGTGATCCTGTGATGGACTGTGCCGAAAAGCTTGGTACATTGACCAAAGCCGCTGGCACCCGGATGTTCGGCATCCGCAGCCTCAATAGCAGTCCTCTTTGATGCGTTGGAGTGCCACGAGCTGTCCATCGTAGAAGAGCTCCGAATTGAGCCGCATCATCTCGGCGTGGGGTCTGTACGTTCCCATTTCTGTATGCCAGGTCCAATACTGAGCGCGAACTTACCTCCACCACTAGTGAAATCGTGTGCACGCCGATATATGGCGGCAGCTGTTTGTGTCTCCGATGAGTGAAAATCGCGCGTGCTCGAAGTGCGAAAGCATGGCCATAAATGCTGCCTCTGGAATCATGGACGCTTCGTCCAGCAAGACGCATTTCGATCGTGCGCCATAAACCTTTTTTAGATGTTAGATTGAGGGCGGCTGCTATCGTGCAGAGGTACACATCTGGCTTATAAATCCTCAAGAAATGAGCAGCCAAAATCTTTACCTGCTCGGACAAGTTCTGTTCCAAGACGAGCAATTTTCTATGCTCGCTTGAAACCACTTATCTTTCCGTGCCG